TTCTTTTCTTACCAAAAATACACGTTTATATCTAAAAATCTTTTATCTCTCTCTTTCTCTTAGTTACTGTTTCCTTTCTACCATTTTAAATAAATCATTTTAAATAACCTCTAAACTACATAAAATTATCGTTTTCTCAATAAGAATACAAATCACATAATTATATTATTCTTAAATTTTAGTGAAAACTCAGGAGGCAATAAATGTTGAACTGTTTATCAGATGTTAGCATTTTATAGCTGAAACCATTCTATAACTTTTAGAAACTTTTTTTAATTTTATAATCCCTTTTTAATTGGAAATGACCCAACATCTAATGAGCGTTTGTTATTCAATTCACAATAATTACAACATTTTAATTACATGAAAAGATTGTCTACAGGCATTTTTCCCATTTATATGTACCTAGTTCTTTTTTTTTTTAAGGATTCTTTCTTTTTTACTGTGAGGTCAAATTTACATACATCAAAACATACAATTATTAAAGATATTATTCAATGAGTTTTGGGAAAATATGTACACCTGAGTAACTCAAATCTCTATTAACAAATATACAAAACAACATTATCAATCCCCAAATTCCCATATGCTCCTCATCAGTAAGTCTCCTACTCTGTCTCCTTAGAGGCAACCCTTAATTTATTTTCACCATACATTAGTTTGGCTTGTTGTAGAATTAGCATAAATAGAATGACACAGTATGCATTCTTTATGTAACTCTTCTTTCACTTAGAATGTTTTTCTATATTCATCCATTTTGTTGCATGTTTAGACAATTTGTTCCATTTTTGCTGAATCATATTCTATCATATCAATCTACCATACTTTGGTTATTTGTTTTTCTATTGATTGATACCTGGGCTGTTTCCACGTTTTATAATACTTAAAAATGAAATCACCAGATCATGTAGTAGGTACATGTGTAGGGTTTTTAAAATTTTCTGCTTTTGAGGTTAGGGGTACATGTGCAGGTTGTGTAGGTTTGTTACATAGGTAAGCATGTGCCACGGTGGTTTGCTGCACAGATCATCCCATCCCTAGGTATTAAGTCCAGCATCCATTAGCTATTCTTGATGCTCTCCCTCCCACTCCACACCCTGCAACAGGCCCCAGTATGTATTTTTCCCCACCATGTATCCATGTGTTCTAATCATCCAGCTCCCACTTATAAGTGAGAACATGTGGTATTTGCTTTTCTGTTCCTGCAATAGTTTGCTGAGGATAATGGCTTCCAGTTCCATCCAGATCCCTGGAAAAGACATTTTGCAATGAACATGCACATGTATCTTTATAATAGAATGATTTATATTCCTCTGGGTTTATACCCAGTAATGAGATTGCCTCTGGGTCTTTGAGGAATCACCACAATGGTAGAACCAATTTACACTCCCACCAACAGTATAAAATCATTCATTTTTCTCCACAACCTTGCTATCATCTATTGTTTTTGACTTTTTATTAATAGCTATTCTGACTGGTGTGAAATGGTATCTCATGTGGTTTTCATTTGCATTTCTCTAATGAGCCGTGGTGTCGAGCTTTTTAAAAATATGTTTCTTGGCCACATAAATGTCTTCTTTTGAGAAATGTCTGTCCATGTCCTTTGCCCATGTTTTAATGGTTTTTTTTTTTTTTTCTTGTAAATTTGTTTAAGCACCTTGTAGATGCTGGATATGAGACTTTTGTCAGACGAATGTATTGCAAAACTTTTCTCCCATGCTGTAGGTTGTCTGTTCACTCTGATGATAGTTTCATTTGCTGTGAAGAAGCTCTTTAGTTTAGATAGATCCCATGTGTCAATTTTTGCTTTTGTTGCTAGTGCTTTTGGCGTCTTTGTCATGAAATCTTTGTCTGTTCCTATGTCTTTAATGGTATTGCCTATATTTTCTTCTAGGGTTTTTATAGTTTGGGTTTTTACATTTAGGTTTTTAATCCATCTTGAGTTGATTTTTGTATATGGTATAAGGAGGGGCTCCAGTTTCAGTTTTCTGCATTTGGCTAACCAGCTCTCCCAACACCATTTATTAAATAGGGACTCCTTTCCTCATTGCATGTTTTTGTCACATGCACACACACACACACACACACACACACACACACACGAAGATCCAAAAGCTTTTACCTCAGAATTTTAGCCATGAGATAGCAATACAAACTTACCATTGTATAAAGATAGCTGGATGCAAATTATTTCTAAGAAAATTGGAAACTGTTCACACGGCTAAACTCTGTTTGCCCTGATAGGTAACTCAGTGAAAGCTGTGGACCAAAATTTTTGGTAAAGCCGTTTTCATGGCGGTTTTGATTGTAAAAATTTTTTTTCATTTTTTTCTTCAGTTTCAAACAAGTTTCCACTGTTTCCATTTCAGTGAGACCATACATAGTAAGTGTCATTTCAGCACCAGCATATTTAAAGCCAGCAGAGAAGAAAATAGAGGGAGATATAGAGCTTTAGAAGACTCTGCTTAACTCTGTAGTAGCAGGTTAACCATCTGAGCTCTAAATTTTCCTTACTCTGCACAAAACCAGTATTGACCATTGCAATCTGGCATCTCTGGTGTCTTATTGAGGCCAGGTGGGCATCCCTGGCACCCTGTCTCAGGTAGTCTCCCATAGGTACATTAAGGTCATCATGGAGATTCCTTCCAATCCACACAAAGTGGTCCCTTAACCTCAAAGCCTCTGAATCATCCTTTTAGTAAAGCAGCCAAGGCCTCGTTGCCTTTAGGGCCTCAGGGAGGAGGAAGAGGAGGAGGAAGAGGAGGGGGGGAGAAGGAGGAGGAGAAGAAGAAAGGCATTTTCAAGAAGGGAGAATTTCAAGTTCCTTCAATTCACGAAAATTGGCATGTAGGAGATTTTCACAGGCATAAGGGAACAAACGCTAAGAGGAATAAACAGAGAGAAATAGAGAAGAACACACACATATAAAATACTTGCTGGTAGGTCACTTCCTGGTTCTGTAGTCTACACTGTCAACCCTTCATTTCCTCTCTCACCTTTCTAAGGACAGTTTTCTTTACATCAATATGATAATAAATTTTGTCATGCTTTCAGCTCACCCTCACATAGTCACAGCTTAGTTGTTATTATTAATTATTATTATTATTATTTGAGACAGATTCTCACTGTTGCCCAGGCTTAAGTGCAGTGGCACTATCTCAGCTCACTGCAGCTTCCTCCCAGGTTCAAGCTGTTCTCCTGCCTCAGCCTTCTGAGTAGCTGGGACTACAAGCCCGTGCCACCACACCCAGCTAATTTTTGTTTGTTTGTTTTAAATATTTTTAGTAGAGATGGGGTTTCACCATGTTAATTAGGCTGGTCTCAAACTCCTGACCACAGGTTATCTGCCTGCCTCGGCCTCCCAAAGTGCTGGGATTACAGGCATGAGCCACCATGCCTGGCAAGGCACCATTCCCAGGCTCTTTAAATCAATAGAATAATAAATGTTGTCATGCTTTCAGCTCACCCTCACGTAGTCACAGCTTAGTTTAGTCTTTACGTACACAAGACCCTAAAAACTTAAAACAAAGATGGTGCCTTCCCCTGCTTGCTTCTGACCGTGCCCTGCTCTGTTCCGGAATAGCTTCTAATAAATTTGCTTCTAATAAAGTCACACACCATGCTGTGTGACTTGCCTTGAATTCCTTCCTGTGCAAGATCCAAGAACCCTCTTTTGAGGTCTGGATCAAGACCCTTTTCTGGCAGCACATTCATTTGCCTGCTCATCCTTGGCATATGGTCAGCCTCCCCACCCCGCCCTCCCCACCACCTGGGGGTCCTTTATGGGACTCACTGAGCTAGCCAGCTTCTTGCCAGTGGGTGAGCAGCCAGAGCGGAAGCTTTGCTCAGTCATTCCTGGGCTAGAGGACCCATTCTCTGTGCAGCGGGGATCAGCCTGCAGTTTGAGGTTGGGGCATGAGTGGGACCAAGCTGCAGCAGTGGCATCCAACTTCAGGGGCGCCACTGTTCTGTCACTCCAGCCTGGGTGACAGAGTGAGACATCATCTCTAACAGAGTCAAAAAATGAAAAAAAAAAAAAATTTGGAAGAAAATTCCATCAAGTTCCAAAAACCACAGATTTGCCATGTGTGCTGAGTACTGTCCAATCCACAAGAATGGAGTGACGTGTAGGTAGTGCACTGGGTAATGTAAGTAATTAGAGATGATTTAAAGTATGCAGAAGCACGAGCATAGGTTATATGCAGATACAGTGCCATTTTACGTGAGTCTTCAGCGTCCACAAAATTTGATATCCTGGGGTCCTGAAACCAATCCCCCAGGAATAGCAGGAGGCCTTACACACACATATACACATACATATACATACTTTATTTTTATTTTATTTTTTTGAGATGGAGTTTTGCTCTTGTTACCCAGGCTGGAGTGCAATGGCGCGATCTCAGCTCACCGCAACCTCCGCCTCCTGGGTTCAGGCAATTCTCCTGCCTCAGCCTCCTGAGTAGCTGGGATTACAGGCACGCACCACCATGCCCAGCTGATTTTTTGTATTTTTAGTAGAGACGGGGTTTCACCATGTTGACCAGGATGGTCTCGATCTCTTGACCTCGTGATCCACCCGCCTCGGCCTCCCAAAGTGCTGGGATTACAGGCTTGAGCCACCGCGCCCGGCCCACATATACATACTTTCTACAGGTATGAAGAAACTTTAGTAGGACACTTTAGACACGCTACAGTGGTTACCTATGTTTTGGGGGTAAACTTTTGATGGATGGTGCACACGTGGTGTGAGGGAGGATTTGGACCGACTACCACTTATTTTCAAATTTTTGAAATTACCTAGTCTATGATTTCTTTGATTTTGCCATTTATCCCCAAGTTGTAAGCAGTAGATTAACTGTCCAAAACTTAAATAAGGCATTGGTTTTAAGGATGTGGGTCACAGGAGCGCCCTCCCACGCTCCTCGCCGTCGCAGCGCTGCCCTCGTGTCTCACGGGGCACTCGGGCCCGGGAGCAGCTGCAGGGCCTCAGCCCGCGCCCCGCTGAGCGCACGCGCAAACCAGCCACGGCGCATGCGCCGCCGATCCTGCCCTCAGGCCGAGCGTGCAGCCCTTTCAGTCAGGCGGGGCCGGCGGGAGTGCGAGGTGAGTCTGCGGGGCCCAGGGCGGGACAGCCCAGCCAGGCGCCCGGGCGGGACCGGGTCACGGTGGCCGCGAGCGCGCGTGAGGGCGTGTTGGGCCCCTGTCGGGTGCTTGTGGTGGAAAAGCCACCCCAGAGGCGAGGGCTGCGTCCGAGCACCCGAAAATCGCCGCCCCTGCGGGGAGGGACCCCGGACGGCCCTGTGGAGTGGGTGGGGGCCTGGAGCGCACCCCGAGGCCGGAGGCTGAGGCCTGAGAATCGCTGGAGCCCAGGAGGCGGGGGCTGCAGGGGACCAAGATCCTGCCCGGGCGACTGAGGAAGACTCTGCCTCAAAAATAAATAAATAATAAATAAATAAATAAATACATAAATAATAAATAATAAATAAATAAATACAGGCCTCAGTGGAAGGAAGCACAGAGGACAGGAACAATTTGTAATTGGCTTGTAAATATGAAACAAAAAGAAGTCTTATTAATCAAAAGAAATGTAAAATTAAAGAATTTTAAAAAAAATATATATATATATATATTTTTTTTTTTTTTTTTTTTTTGAGACGGAGTTTCGCTCTTGTTACCCAGGCTGGAGTGCAATGGCGCGATCTCGGCTCACCGCAACCTCCGCCTCCTGGGTTCAGGCAATTCTCCTGCCTCAGCCTCCCGAGTAGCTGGGATTACAGGCACGCGCCACCACGCCCAGCTAATTTTTGTATTTTTAGTAGAGACGGGGTTTCACCATGTTGACCAGGATGGTCTCGATCTCTTGACCTCTTGATCCACCCGCCTCGGCCTCCCAAAGTGCTGGGATGACAGGCTTGAGCCACTGCGTCCGGCCAAAACTATATTTTTAAGTCTGTCTAATTAACAGCTGATTTTGAGGGGTGGTGATGCTCTTGATTGGCAGAACCAGTGACATAATTTGCAGGGCTTAGTGCAAAATGAAAAAGCGGGGCTCCTTGTCCCCAAAACTGAAAAGTTTCAAGAGAGTGACAGTAAGGCATTAAACTAGGCCTATGGGCTTTGTGAGAATGGGCCCCTTGTGACTGCCCTGATTACAAGCCGTGAAGCTGCTCTGTTGCTTGTCAGATGGACTGAGTGTGATTTGTAATCTTACATATTGAGTTTGGAAGAAGTTGGTAGAAGCCTTTAAAAAGAAAATTTGGCAGATTGTGTCAATAACTTTTTCTAAAAAAGTTCATGCCTTTTGTCTAGGTAATTTTACTTTGCGGAATATATCCTAGAAGGGAGATATCAGAGATGGGAACAAATACTTCATTTCAGTGATGTTCATTACATTATGATTTATAATGATTTATAATCATAATGTAATGAACATTTACAAAAATAAATGCTTTCAAATAGAAAAACTGTTAAATTATAGAAATAAAAGGTGTAAGTTTTAGTGAAGAGAAGAAAAGAAAAAAATGTTTCCCCCAAGTGGCATCGTTGTTCGTGGTTCTTTAGAGTGAGTATAGCCTTTATGGAGGAAAAGTATGTTTTATTTCTCTGATTTCAGAAGAAATGAAGGTTTGTTGTAGAACATTTGAAGCTAGAAAATAGTTTTGAGAGAGAGTACAAAGTCACCTACAAAAGTCACTTACTGCTCATAAGTAAACTGCTGGTGCAGTGTTTTGATTTACCACCTTTTCTGGGCTTTGTATGGTGAAGCATGTATTGTTATGTACAGGTATTTTTCCACCTGATATTATGACCTAGATGTTTTCCTACAACTATAATACAGCTAAAAAATGTTTAGCAAAATATACATACGAAAAGGGCACAAACCACAAATTTGTAGCTCAGTTTTCAGAAACTGAATACACTGTGTCCACATCATGAGTTTTCAGATTAAGAAATAGAACATTCCTAGCTTTCCAGAAGCCTTCATGCCTGGTACCAGTCATTACCACCCTTCCCCAAACAGCAACCACTATTCTGACTTCTAGCACGTTAGGTTTTGCCTATTTTGACCTTTATATAAATGGAATCATACAATATGGACCTTTTTTTGAGCCTGGTTTCTTTAATTCAACAGCAATGTACATTCATATTTTCTGTTTAGCACTGCAGTATACAAATATATCATCCTACTGTGTCTCTGTCTCCTTCCCGACACTTGGTATTATCTGACTTCTTCATTTTGAACATTTTGGAGGGTGTATAGTTATATCCTATTGTCGTTTAATTCCTATATCTCTGCTTGTTTTGTGTTGATTGGCTATTTAGCTGTCATCTTTGGGTAATACTTGTTCAGATCACCTTCAGTCCACTGTCCAGTCATAACCGTGCAGGCTAGTTGTCTCTCTAATTTCTGCAGGTCCTTAGGTCTTTGTATCCTTTTATCTGATACAGGTCTGCCCACCGTCTTCCACAGCATTGTGTTCTAGAGCAGCCTGCCTTTAAGAGTAGCTGTTTCCTGCAAAGGACCAGGGTGTAAAGACGCCACATGTGATAGGGGTTTCGGATATCTCGAGGAATCCCTACATCTTTTATGTGCATGGTCAAGAGGATAAACTAGAAACAGAGACACTGAAAGTTTCTCATCAAAAGTTGGGGACTGTCAGTGAATGGGCCTCATCAAGCTGTGAGCCAAATCCAGGAGCTCTGTTGGCAATGGGCGCAGCCAGAGATCCACACCAAGGAGTACATGATAGAGCAACTATCTGTATCTGATAGAAACTGCTGGCACAGTTTCTGAGCACCCTGCCAGAGGAGCTTCAGACGTGGGGCAGGTCAAAACAGCCCAAGAATAGCAAGGAGGCAGGAACCATGGTGGCAGACTTTATTCCGGCATGTGAGAAGGAAGGTGAGAAGGAGGAAGCCACTGGCTGCTTCTGTTTATTGAATATCTGCTGTATGCCTGGCATGTAATAGGAGCTGAATGCAAATTTGCTGAGTGAATGAATGAAACAATGAATTTTATACATTCAGTCTGATCTGCCTAATGTCATGTGAGATGAAAGAAATTTGGGATTTGGGGTTTTTTTTAAGTTTTATTTTAGGTTTGGGGGTGCATTTGCAGGTTTATTACATGAGTATATTAGGTGATGCTGAAGTTCCAGCTTCTAGTGATTCTGTCACCCAGGTAGTGGACATAGTACTGGACAGGCAGTTTTTCAACCTTTGCCCTCCTTCCTCATTACCTTCTTTCGGAATTCCCCGTGTTGACTGTTCCCATCTTAGTGTCCATGTAGTTTAAACCCAGTGTTTAGCTCCCCCTTATAAGTGGAAACATGTAGTATTTGGTTTTCTTTTTCTAGTTAATTTGCTTAGGATAATGGCTTCCAGCTGTACCTATGTGGCTGCAGAGGACATGATTTCATTGTTTTTTACAGCTGTGTGGGTTTGGCTTTTGCTTTTAACATTTACTATTTCTCTGAGTATATCAGCTTCGTTCACCTTCCCCTCACATTTCTCATCCAGCGCAAACCTTAGTTTCAACACAAAACAACACACACAATACAAAAACAAAATCTCCTGGGATTGCTTGTGGCATTACTATATTAGGTATAAATTTGGAAAAAATTGTCTTTACATTATTTAGTCTTTCTATTCAACAACAAGAATGATTAGCTAAATTTTATGCAAGGGGGCATAAAATGTGGGAGATATAATGCCTGGAAGTTCAACTTTTGCCAAAACTTGACAGATATCTTAGAAACTCAAGTTATTAGATTAGAGTTAAGGAAACATTTCAAGAATGAGAGAAGAAAGCCACTGGGTCCTTATAGTCCTTTGAAGAAAACAGTACTAACTAAAAATGAAGTCTTGTTTGGGGCATGTATATAGCAAGGGAACAATGAATATAAACACGAGACCTCAGACCATGCTTATCTCTGGAGGGAGGACTGGAGCATGCACATGAAAGAAGCACACAGGCAGATGTAAGTTATTGGGAATGTTCTAGTTTTGGGTTGGATAGTAAATTCACAGGTCTTAGTTATACTTAAAAATATAAACAGATGGATTTAAAATAACCATGAAGGCTCTGCATGGCTCAATTAAGATAGCACATCATGAACTAGGGATTATGATTAATCCCATTCTGTGCTCCCACATTCCTTAAAAGAGTTTTGTAAATGCTAATAATGAACACTTGAGCACTTAGAATGCTTTCATTATTATCATAGGTGTCCTTACATATTAATTCATTTTCCTCTATTAATAGCTCTGTGAAATAGGCATTACCTTCGTTTTGTAGACCAGGAGACAGAGGCATAAAGAGGTTGAGTAAGACCATGGTTCCACAATTTATATTAATAATTGGCAGTCAGGATTCAGACTTAGGCTGCTGGTGCCAGCATCTACTCTTAATCATGGTGTTACAGTGAGTGCCTCATATGGATATAGTGGGTGTTATCCAGGGGCTAAAAACTTGGCCAGTGGCACTGAGTTATTGATGAAGCTAGAGTTCAGTGAGAAGGAAAGAGAGTTCCCTAGGGTACCAGAAAGAAACAACAGATTAATGAAGGGTACACCCAGAAAAGAGAATATATAAGCAAGAAAGGCCATCAAACTTAAGGCTCCTGGAGTGAAGGTGGTGTTTGGATTAATGAGTGACCAATGAGTGAAAAATATATAGGAAAGGCTTAATCCTAAGAGCTGCCATTTACCAAAAATACTACCGTGTGCTTTACATATGTAATGTTTAATCCTAAGAGCTGCCATTTACCAAAAATACTACCGTGTGCTTTACATATGTAATGTTTAATCCTAAGAGCTGCCATTTACCAAAAATACTACCGTGTGCCTTACATATGTAATATTTAATCCTAAGAGCTGCCATTTACCAAAAATACTACCGTGTGCCTTACATATGTAATGTTTAATCCTAAGAGCTGCCATTTACCAAAAATACTACCGTGTGCCTTACATATGTAATATTTAATCCTAAGAGCTGCCATTTACCAAAAATACTACCGTGTGCCTTACATATGTAATGTTTAATCCTTACAAGAGCCCTTAGAGGTGTAGTATACTCCCCTTATCTGAGGGGCGTACATTCTAATACCCCCAGGTCAAGAGATCAAGACCATCCTAGTCAACATGGTGAAACCCTGTCTCTACTAAAAATACAAAAATTAGCTGGGCATGGTGGCGCGTGCCTATAATCCCAGCTACTCAGGAGGCTGAAGCAGGAGAATTGCCTGAACCCAGGAGGCGGAGGTTGCGGTGAGCCGAGATCGCGCCATTGCACTCCAGCCTGGGTAACAAGAGCGAAACTCCGTCTCAAAAAAAAAAAAAAAGAAAAGAAAATGTGAATAGTATCAAATCATGTGTATACTCTGTGTTTTCCTCTACATAAATACCCGTGATGAAGTTTAATTTATCAGTTAGGCCCAGTAAGATATTAACAACAACTAGTTCTGGAATAGAACAATTATAACAGTACGTCAGCATCACTCTTCTTGTGCTTTGGAGGCATTACTAAGTAAAATGAGGGTTACATGACCACAGGCACTGCAATACCGTGACAGTTGATCTGATGACCAAGACAGCTAGTAAGTGTTAACAGGTAGCTAGTGTATACAGAGTGGATACCCTGGACAAAGGGATGCTACATGTCCCAGATGGGACAGAGCGAGAAAGTGTGAGATTTTATCACCAGAATGGCACACAATTTATAACATACAAATTGTATATTTCTGGAATTTTCCATTATTAAATGGAAAATTTTGATCCCCAGTTGACCCTGGGTAACTGGAAGTGCAGAAAGCAAAACCTCAGATAAGCGGGGAATACTGTATAGGTATTGTCATTATTTCTGCTTTCCAGTTGAGAAACAGAGATTCTGTGGTGATCTTGATTGGACAGTGAGGCCCGAAATGACTGATAGAGAGGGAGCTTTTACTGTATGTTGAAGGCTGTGGGAGCCATTGAAGCATTTAGAGCTGGGCAGTAACCAGAGCTCACTTTTGGAACTTGTTATATTGAGTTCAGAAATGATTTCTATCTTTCTCACCGTAGGAACTCTAGAACTGCTGTTCCTTCCCATGGCAGGGCAGGGTGGCATGAGGGTGGCAGGCCACTGTGTCTGTCAGCGCTGCCAGACAGGGCTTAATTCCATGGCTGTTCCTCCCTCCCTTCTAGGCTTCCTTGCTCATGACTCTGTCCCTGCAGAAGAGAGGAACACAGAGATGGTAGACAGTCCACCATCTGCTAGGTCCCAGGTGAGTCGGGCTTTCTTCTGACGTGATTAGCAAATACGGGGATCTTACTCTGCTCATTTTTGGACTTCCTTATTTAATTAAACCATTTTGGACTTCCTCATTTCCTTTAGGTTTTTATATAACTATCACTTCGCTGGGCCTTTTCTTCTGGCTACTCTGTTTCCTTCTGATTCTTTTCTTTTTCTTAATTCTCCAAGAAAAATCCTTCTGATTCTTTTATCCTCCTTCCATGCCTTACTTTTCTCTGTTGTACTTATCACCATCCCACATACTGTATATTTAATATTTTTCCGCTTTTCTTGTCCTTTGAATTATTGTTTATTTTTTAGTATTCCATTTTATTCCAAAAAATCCTTATGTGGTTTGCATTATTATCGTACCCCTTTTTGTAGATGAGGGAGTGGAGGCAGAAAGTCTAAGTAATATGCTGAAGGTTACAGAGCTGTTAAATCATACACCTAAGATATAAACCCGCAGTCTGGCTTTTGGGTCCACAACCCTAACCACTTAGTTATTGCTGCCTAATGTGGTACTGTTACTCCAGCGCACGCTGGTCAGATTTAGCAAGTATACACAACACCCAATTTAATTTAAATTTTAGATAAACCATGAATAAATTTTTCATGTAAGTATGAATGAAGTTTTAGCATATTAAGTTGAAACAACAATTTTTTGCATAAATATGCAATGTTTAATATTTAAGACATATGCAAAAAAACTATTTGCTGTTTATCTGAAATTCAGAACTTTTAAATGTTAATTATACTTTATGTTTGTATATTAAGAATTTCAAGCTAGGCATGGTGGCTCACACCTGTAACCCCAGACTTTTGGGAGGCCAAGGTGGGAGGATCACCTGAGGACAGGAGTTCCAGACCAGCCTGGCTAACATGGTGAAACCCGTCTCTACTAAAAATACAAAAATTAGCTGGGCATGGTGGCACATGCCTGTAATCACAGCTACTCCGGAGGCTGAGGTGGGAGAATCACTTGAACCTGGGAGACAAAGGTTGCAGTGAGCCAAGATCACATCACCGCACTCCAGCCTGAGCTGCAGAGTGAGACTCTATCTCAAAAAACAAACAAGCAAAACAATAACAAACAGTACAGAACTCTTCTAATTTTTTTAATTGGAATCCACAAAACCAGTTAATAATGACATTTCCTAATTTTTTGGTTATGGTAGCAAATACAAATTTTTAAAAAAGGATAAAAGGACCACATGAGTCAAATAAACACATCTGAAGGTGCTGGGCAGCCAGTATATGAGCCCTAATTTAATCTGTTGTTGCTTGATTTGCATAGAAAGTTCTAGAAAGTTTCAATTAAAATGCAAAAGATGTATATTAATAAAATGGGTATCGTAGTATTATGTAATCTTCTGATATCTGCCTTTTTATTTTTATAGTATCAAAAGATTTTATGTGTTTTATTATAAAATTTTAGAATGTAAATAACTTTAGGATAATGTGGTGGATCTCTTTATTTTAAAGATGAGACAATGAGAATTAAAGATTAATTAGCCCATATCTCACAACTAGCTAATACAAGAACTCAAGACTCTTTATTCCAGTGTAGGTTTGTTCCCATGATTTTCTCTAATAGTTAGAAAGGTTGAGATGGAAAAAATAAAAGTAGGATGGTCAATGGAGAATTTACAGTAGGGAAACATTTGGGAACAGTAAGAGAGCAGTCTTAAAAATGCTCTGACTACCACATGACCACCGTAGTTTAAATATGCACTGTGACTGGGAAATTATGACTGACCATACAGTGTTTCTTACTTGAATTAAATACCTTTTCTACAACCAAATTCAATTTTCTTAAAATAAATCAGGTGACATTTCTCTTTCAGCAATCTTTTTTTTTTTTAGACAGAGTCTCGTTCTGTTGCCAGGCGCCAGGCTGGAGTGCAGTGGCACGATCTGGGCTCACTGCAACCTCCGCCTGCCGGGTTCAAGCAATTCTCCTGACTCATCATCCCGAGCAGCTGGGACTACAGGCGTGCACCACCTCGCCCAGCTACTTTTTGTATTTTTTAGTAGAGACGAGGTTTTACTATGTTGCCCAGGATGATTTCGGTCTCTTGACCTTGTGATCCGCCTGCCTCGGCCTCCCAAAGTGCTGGGATTACAGGCATGGGCCACTGCGCCTGGCCTTTTTTATCTAATAATATTTATTATCCATTCTATTCAAGGCATAGTAGCATATTAACTGTATTAGTTAAGTAAAATAAAGCACAAGAAAAAAGGTTGTGAAAAACTGAGATTGCTCTCTATTCTAAGTATTTTGAGTCAGGCTCCTTTGAGAAACTCGGAATTTTTCCCTTCCGGAAAGGTGCACACGCACTACGAAGCTCAGCCCTAAGAAGCCATGGTTGCCAGGTTAAGACCCCCGCCTAACAATGTACCTTTGGTTTTGAATCATTTTTTTCATTGCCAAAGTACAACTAGAAGCAATAGAAAAGTTCATTAGCTGCTATAACATTTTGAGCAAAATGGCTAGCAAGTTACGATTCTTAATTTTTGTCATTATCTGTGTATAAAGACTGTTTATTGGATTAGCATATTTGAGTGGGGAGATCCTGTGCATTTTCTCATACATGTTACAATTTTCCAGTTGGTAGACATTCAGATTTGCTAAGGAAGCTAAGTATCCTGTTGCCTTAGGACAACCTTAGATTTGAAGATGTCAGTCTATGTTTTATTTTTTAACTCTTATTTTAGAATCAGGGCATACACATGTAGGTTTGTTACAGAGGTGTATTGTTACTTTTGTTTTAGAATCAGGGCATACATACACATGTAGGTTTGTCACAGAGATGTATTGCACGATCCTAAGGTGTGGAGCATGAATGGATCTGTCACTCAGGTAGTAAGCACAGTACCCAACAGGTGGCTTCTTCCAACCCTCCCTCCACTCCCTCCCTGCCTTCTCCTGTATTCCCTAGTGTCTGTTGTTCCCTTTTTAATGACTGTATATACAGTTTTTAGCTCCCACTTGTAAGGGAGAACATGGTATTTGGTTTTCTATTTCTGCGTTAGTTCACTTAGAATAATGGTTTCTGGTTGCGTCTGCATTGCTGCAGAGGACATGGTTTTGCTCTTTTTTTGTTGCTGCATGATATTCAATGGTGTATACATGCCTCATTTTCTTTATCCAATCCATTATAAATGGACATTTGGGTTGATTCCATGTCTTTGCCACTGTGAGCAGTGCTGTGATGAACGTACGGGTGCATGTGTCTTTTTGGTAGGATGGCTTATTTTCCTTTGGGTGTATGGCACCTGCCTTTTAAATTCAACTTAGTTTACCAAGATCGTTGTATATAACTGTGGTTAACTGGTTTCCATTGCTGGAATCTCTTCCACTGTATGACTATACTGTGTTCATCTCTTCTGCTGTTAGTGAATGTTTGGGTTATTTCCAGATAATTTGGATGTTACAAACAATGCTATTATAAACATGCTCATCCATGTTTATAAGACACATATTATAAACATGAGCAAATGTACCTCGGAATAGAATTTTCAGGTCCAGTGGAGAGTAGAAGAATGGTTACCAGAGGCTGGGAAGGGTAGTAGAGGGTTGAGGGGAGGTGGAGATGGTTAATGGGTACAAAAAAAAAAAATAGAATGAGTAAGACCTACTATTGGTAACACAATAGGGAGTCTATAGTAAATAATAACTTAAGTGTACGTTTTAAAACAACTTAAAGAGTATAATTGGATTATTTGTAACTCAAAGGGTAAATGCCTGAGGGGATGAACACCCCACTCCCCATGATGTGCTTATGCCACATTGCCTGCCTGTATGAAAGCATCTCATGTACCCTGTAAGTATACACAAGTAAGATGTGCCCACAAAAATTTTTGAAAATTGAGTAAAGAATTTCTAGGTCAAAACTGTTTTTCCAATTTGCATTTCCCTTAGCATCTCCAGTGGATCCATGTTTTATATAGTAGTTGGTATTGTCACACTTCTTAATTTTTACTCAATACTCAATTGAATGGGTATAAAATGGTATTTTGTCATTTTGATTTTCATTTCCTTGTCTATTAATAAGATTGAGTATTTCTTCATGTCATGAGAACTTTGTTTTACAGATGGGACTCTGCGACTTAACCTACCCAAACTCACAAAGAACCAGAGCCAGGACTCTGATTCCTAAGGCTGAGATACACTGCTGAGTTTTTAAGTATTTGCATGCTTGCATTCTTTCTCGATAAAGTGGCTTAAAAGGATATTTTCCCTCCAACTCAAATAGGTAGTAACTAGCAACAGGAACTGTTACAGTAGTGTTCCCGCTTCTCTCAGACTCAGAAGGATGCAGTGCCAGGTGCCTGTGGCTCTGGATTAGAGCACTCGGAAGCCCTCTGCTGGTCTGAATGCCTGAATCATGTTGAGTCTCCTCTAATCAGGTTCTTTCTCCCGCTCTGGAATAGCTCTTGGACTTGGAACACATACGAGCATTTCTGCTGTTTCAGGAGCTGGTGACCTTCAAGGATGTGGTCGTGCACTTCAGCCTGGAGGAATTACGGTCCCTCAGTGCTGCTCAGAGAAGCCTCTACCGGGAGGTGACCCTGGAGAATTACCGGAACCTGGTCTCCCTGGGTAAGTACACCTTCTCCACAGGACTGCGTTTCTTCCTGCTAGGGCAGTGGCCCTCAACTCCTCTGTGTCCTCTCATCAGTGATGTCAGCGAGTCTCAACCCAGGTCAGAGGCAATATTTTAATATTTGAACATCAAATTCATTGTTAATTATAAAATAGCTAACATTTACTGAGCACTAAACATGTGTCAGGCACTGGTGTAAGTCTTTTACGTGTTTCCCCTCCTTGAATCCTCTCACAAGTCCGATGAGTGGGAGGTATGCTTATTGTTGTTGTTATTATTGACATTTTTAACGTGGAGGAAACTGAGTCATTGAAAGGTTAAATTACTTGTCAAAAGCTGGGACTTAACCCCAAGCAGATTGACTGCAGAATCTGGTCTCTTAAACTCTGATGTGCTACCTGACAGGGGTTTGCTCCAGCAGTTCTCAGCACAATGGAGGGCTTGAAATGATGTTTTGTGAATGAGTGAAGAAATTGCTAAAAATTCCAGGAGCTCCAAAGACTCCTACTGGCTTGAGGTTTAAGAATCAGAGCTTGCCGATCTCTCTTTACATCCAGAGGCAAAATTGTTTTACCTGTTCTCACAGGTGATGTTGAAAGTAAAAAGTAAAAAGCTATGTTGCCGCTGCCAAGATCCTTTTTCAGTGGCTTTTTTTGGGGGCTTGAGGTCCCCTGAAAAACAGAATCTAAAACAAACACTGTTCAACTGGCAGTAACTTTGTGAAGTCAGAGACCTAATGGGAAGACACACGCATCCTGTCTCAAACCCGGCCCGGGGCGCACACTTTGAACTCTGGTACTTGTCGGTTACAAGGAAGTATGTTTTCCAACATCTCTTACACTCTTCTCTAGCTAACCACGTTTTATGAATTAAAATAGAGGGAATAGTATCAAAATGGAGGAAATAAATCAATCGTGTCATTTCAGCTCTTACACAGTGAACTGGAGGCATTCTGTCTCTTGAGCCCCTGGCTTCTCTAACACTGAAGGTTTTGTGTTAATAGAGATCTTACATATCACCTGGGACATTGCCTTCCCACGTGTGGAATGAGCACTTGGGCTAAACAGAAGGTTCTTTTAGGTAGCACATGGACAGCATGACATAATCCTTCCGTCTGTTGGTGAGAAAGAACTTCTAATTTTCTTTCAAGCCTTATGATTGTGTCAAGTAAAGAATATCAGTTTAATGTTGGCATGTCTCTCTTAGCAAAGAGAGAGCAGCAAACCCTCAGTGTTAGATAGGCAGCAGAAGCTAGCTAGCACTCAGTAACCTTACTTTCTGTTATATTTATCATGACGTTACCTTCCATTTGTGTGTGTGTGTGACATTGGTTTCCATCTACAGGGTTGATATAAAGCTTCCATTGAAAATAAGCATATTGGCTGGGTGCAGAGGTTTATGCCTGTAATCCCAGCACTTTGGGAGGCTGAGGCAGGTGGTTCATTTGAGGTCAGGAGCAAGACCAGCCTGGCCAACATGGTGAAACCCCATCTCTACTAAAAATATGAAAAATTAGCTGGGCGTGATGGCAGGTGCCTGTAGTCCCAGCTACTTGGGAAGCTGAGGCAGAAGAATCACTTGAACCCAGGAGGCAGAGGTTGCAGTGAGCCGAGATTGCACCACTGCACTCCAGCATGGGCAACAGAGTGAAACTCCATCTCAAAAAAAAAAAAAAGAAGGAAGGAAGGAAAGAAAATAAGCATATTTAAGTTAAAATGAAAGGTGATCTAAAGAAAAACATTAAACAAATACTGAATACGAGTATAAATGGCACATAGAAGTGCCAGAATACTCATTCATTGACTTGTCAGCAAACTCAGAGGCACAAGGTCTGGTATAGGCATTGGGGTTACAGAATAGATGACAGTTCCCCTTCTCAAGGGTATTACGTTTGAGCGGAGAGAGTCAGGCAGTAAACAGATAGTTTGGCATGCAAACGGTAGAAGTTTGGGAAACAAGGAACTGAGGGAGGGGGAAGAACAGCATTTCAAGACAAGGGGGCAGTGGATGTTACCACAGGAGGGAAAAGAACCAAATGACTTTTTCAGCAGCTACAGCAGATTCTTAGTGCTGAAGTCTGGAGCTCAACACACTGCCCTCGTGCCCTCTTTGTAGTCTTCACAGCAGTTTTTCAGCCTTGGCACTCTTGACGTGGGGCCAGAGCACTCAGGTTCTAGGGTGTTCAGCAGCACCCCTGCCTCCAGCCGTTCTAGACACCAGGAAGCCCTCCCCCTGCTCCCACAGTTCTGACAACCAAAGGTTATCTCCACACATTCTAAATGTCCTTTAGGAGATAAAGTCTCTGAAGGCTGGAAATAGGCTTCATGCTGCTCCTGTGAAAGTTTGTTCCTTCCTTAGTATCCCAGAGTCTTTGGGACCCAGTGTTGGGAGTTACTGAACCCCTGAGTTCTGAGTCTTCCTCTCCAACAGGGTACCGCTTCTCTAAACCTGACATTATCTCACGCCTGGAAAAGGAGGAATCACGTGCAGTGGAAACAGACAGCAATGCAGTGATTTGTCAAGGTGGGTAGTGACGGGGAAGCCCAGGGTGGAGGAGTCAGGACCAGGAAATGCTAGTCAGGGAGCTTTCTTCAAAGCCTGCCTGGGCCAGGGAGAAGGCTGGTGGGTGCTCTCACCTCAGGGGCTCTTTCTCCTCAGTGCTCCCCTTAATCTCCTTTCTGAAGCTCATCTCTTCCTGCAACATAAGTTCCTCTCCTGCTCAGCTCCAGGAGGCCAGTGTCCTTTTTCACTTGTGTTCTAGCCCTTCCAGTCACTCACACCTTTCTCCTTGCAGCTAGAAATCATAGATCTCTCTTCTTTAACTGAGACAAGCAAAAAACCTGGGCCTGATACCACTTGTCTTTCTCACTGCCCTCCCGCTCTCCCTCACATCAGCTCCTCAGACTTGTTGACACCCAGAGGCTCCCTTCCCTTTGCTTCTTAACCTCCATATCTAGTTTCCATCCCTCTCCTTCTGCCAACACAGACACACATATATGCTCTTTTTTGAAACTTCTTCCACAAAAGGTCCCCACTAGCATCCTTATGGTTCTAGAATGACAAGAATGTTCTAGACTTGACCTCTCCCAAACTCTATGGCTCCAACCTAATAACGTCCGCCATCTTCCTGAAATTCCCTTCTTTGCATTGGGTCACCATGTGCATCAGCTAGGATCACTGTTGTCCTTCAGTTGTCGTTAACGGAGAACCCACATCCAAACTGGCTGAAGTCACAGAGGGATTATTAGCCTGTAATACTGATCAGTGGGCTGTATTCAGGGACCCAGGGAAGTCATCAGAGACCTAGTTTCATTTTCTCCTTCTACTCTGCCTCTAACTTTGACAATAAATCCTAGATCCATTGTTTTTGTTCCTGTACAAAGAAGGAGCAAGAAAGAGCTGGTGTGCCCAAGAAGCATTCCAGAGAGAGAGGACGCATCTTTTCCAGAAGCCCTTGACATACTCTCCCGATTTTTCATTGTTCCATGTTGGGTTACATTCCTTTCCTGAGCCAGCAGCTGTGTCCCATACAGTGCTAATTGATACAGCCCTCCTCCACCTTTCTCTGTGAGTGGAAAAGTGGATGTCCAAACAAAACCCAATAAGTTACCAGAAAGACTCCTGTTTCTTTCATTGTTTTTTCCTCTTTGCCTTCTCTAGTTTGTTCATTCATTCAGTCATGCATAGATATTTATCAGGCTTCTCTTGTGGGCCAGGTACTGTCCTAGCATCTGTGGATATATACTAATGAACAAGACAGACAAATCTCTTCATTCACAGAGCTTGCATTCTAATGAGAGAGGTCGTTTTTAAAAGTAGTCAAATAATAACTGAGTGTAAAGCGGCTAGAGAGTGAGATATGGGAGGTTGCTTAAGAGGGACTAGTCAGAGAAGGCCTCACCATGGAAGATGTGAATGAGATGAGGGGCTGACCCATGTGGAAATCTTAAGGAAGAGTGTAATAGGCAGGGCAAACTGTACATGCAAGGACCCTGACATGGGAATGAGGTTGGGTGTTCCAAAACCAGGAAGAATGGCAATATGGTCTGAGTTCAGTGGAGGGTGGATGATGAGACCGCTCAGAGAGTCAAGGGCCAGCCCACTTAGGGATATGTTAAAGAATTTTGGGATAAGTGAGATGCGAAGATGGTGGGAAGTTTTGAGTAGGGGAATGAGGTGGTGGTGTTCGCATTTTAGAACTTTGCTGTCCAATGTGGTAGACAGTAGGCACATGTGGCTACTTACCTTTACACTAGTAAGCATTACATAGAATTTAAAATTTAGTTCCTCAGTTACATAAGCCACATTGCAAGTATTTGATAGCACACATGGCTAATGGCTACTGTGCTGGACAGCAAATATGTATATAATTTCCATCGTCACTGGGAGTTCTGCTGGGCAGTGTTATTCTAGAAAGATCCATCTGGCTGTTCTATGGAGAACTGGCTTTAAGAGGAAAAGCCAGAGAAACCAGTTCAGGAGGCCATTGAATTCCATCAGGCTAAAGATAATGGAGGCTGAGGCTGTGGTTGTAGAGGAGTCAGGTTTGAGGTATTCCCTGAAAGGAGACCTGGCAGAACATGCTGAAATATGGGATGTACAGCAGGTGAGGGAAACAGAAGAGCCAGTGAGGACTAGGTGTTCTCTTAGTCTTCCATTCTTGAGTGTTCTCTTCAAAGATCTCTTCTAGGAGAGTCAGTCCATTGTGATGGGCCCAGCGATCCCTCTTCCCGATGACTTCCTAAGCCATGTTGTGGTTCTTCTGTTTTACCTGTACTCTCTGCTCACGTATTTCAAGTGTCTGCCAGGATGTAACCACTGTGTTCATCACCTCTCTTCCAAACCACAGTCCTAGACTTGACTCCCTTGGCTTCAGTATGTTTCCTATCAGAGAGTTACCTTTATAAAGCACAGACGTTTTATCAACTTCTTAGCACCGTCGAGAGAAAATTCAAACTTTTAGCAAAACACTAAAGTTCCTCCCAGTCTGGCCTGAAATTCACATCCCAGCTTCATCTCCTACAGATCTTGCAAGTAAGAGCCTGTGTTTCTAGCTCCGTAGGACTGTATACTTTCACAGTTCTGTGGCTTAACTCAGGCTGTTTTATAGAAACTCTTACCCCCTTCCCCATTTAATGAGGCCAAATGCTGTCCTTTCCACTAATCATATCCTGTTCCTAAGTGGAATCAATTCCCCCATCCCTGCTCTTGTGTCATTTATAATCTGATTAGAGCGCCTTTTACAGACCTCTGACCCATCTGGTTAGATAATGCCTTGCACAAAACAGGCATTTAATATTGAATTAAAGGGAATTGGTTGGCAGTATAGATTGGGGTAGAACAAGAGATTTGGAGCCAAGCAAAGAGAATCTTTGCTTAATTCTGAGCAAGAGGTCGTTGACCTGTTCACCCCAGTGTTTCCTCAGTGGTCCTGAAGACCCCTGGTAATAGATGTTCTTAAAATAATGTTTCATGGCAAGATCAGTTTAAGAAATGCTACATTCTGTACCTTCCCTCCTCGGGACTCGAGGTGCATATTAAAAGTTCCGAGTCCTGTGGGAATGCAACCTGCTTGACTGGCGTCATACAACCTTTTCCGAATTGACAACGGAACCCCCTTCATGGTAATAGCTGTCTGTTTTGCAGAACATTTGCAACCCGCCAAAGGTGGTTTGGAAAATGCTCACAAACTCCAACCCCAGCCTCTTCTCTGATCGCCTCTCATTCTCCTCTGGACATTTCTGGCATCTTTTTCACATGCCATCCTCCTGGATGATCTTTTTCTGCCCCTTCCTCACTCTGCTTGCTTACCATCCTTTCTGTCCTTTCCCTGTTTTCTTTTTAGGTTTTCAGCAAACTCTTTCAACCTCCATAAGATCCGTTTGTTACCCTTGGTCTCTTTATTTCTATTATATTGGTATGTGTCTCTGAGTAAAAAGAATAGAGGAATTTTTACACTTTCTTTTTAGATTAGGAAAAGAGACCGGAACCAAAGCGCTAACTCCAGGGCAAAGCCTGCCTACAGAAATATTACTGTCGTAGGCAGGAGTGGGAAATCAGCCGTAGGTAACTTCTGGCATGTCTCTGCAGGAGAGTCTCATGAGGACCCATTGAAACCACACCAGGGCAACCAAGAGAAACGTTTGAGTCCTCTAACAATGAATGCCCCCAAGTTCCTCACTCAGGAAAGAAGCTATGGCAGTGATGAATTTGACAGATGCTCTCATCTTAGTGAACAAGCAGAGGATCTTCTAGGAAAGGATCCCCAGGAAGGCGCTACTCCTGGAATATGTGCCAGTCCCCAGTCAGCGTCCCAAGAGAACAAACAGATCAGATGTGAATTTTGCGAACGAACCTGCAGAACTCAAATAGCCCTCAGGAGACACAAGAGGATCCATACTGGGGAGAAACCCTTTGAATGTAAACAGTGTGGTGAAGCCTTCTATCTCATGCCACACCTCAAGAGACATCAGAAGACCCATTCTGGTAGGAAGCCATCTGGCTGCAAAGAAGATAGAAAGTCTTCCATCCAGCGCACGAATCTCTGTGAACGTGTAGGAGTCAGTCAGGAGGACTACTGTGAATGTCTTCAGTGCGACAAAGCTTTTACCCAGAACGTGCATCTTTTTCAACACCTCAAAGCCCACGAGGCAGCAAGAGTCCCTCCTCCCTGGTTGTCCCGCAGCAAGACATACTTCATTCGTTATCAGCGGAAACACGACTACGTTGGAGAGAGAGCCTGCCAGTGTTGTGATTGTGGCAAAACCTTCCGTCAGAGTTCACATCTCATTCAGCATTATAGAACTCATGCTCACGAGCGGCCTTTCCAGTGTCAGCTGTGTGGGAAGTGTTTCAGCCTACCCTCACGCCTCACTCAGCATTATCAACTCCATTCTCAAGAGAAATGTTGAGTGCAATCACTGTTGAGAAACCTTCCGTCACAGCACGCAGTGTTCTCAACATTTTCGGCTTCATCCCGGAAAGAGTGTTCTGAATGTGAGAAGGCCTTCCACTAGCCTTCACACCTTGTTAACAGCTTGAAAATTCATCAAGGTGTGGTCCCAAACAAAGTTGCAAGGATGTAGGAAAACCTTTTTCCAAGAGGGGGTTCCTCACGTGTCACACAGGTGAAGCCTACAAAGAGTATTTTTGTTGCATGGAAAAGTAGCTAATAGGTTTTTCCCTTTTTCACTGATATTCGTCATGAGGGAGGATTGCCCTCATTTCTTTATATCGGAATGTGTTATGGATATTTGTTCTATGGGCTGTAATTCAGTACCATCAATGATTTTGCTGTTTAAACGGCTACAGCTTTGGCCACTGGGAGCTCTTTCCCGCTGGCTCCCGCCTTTTCAGTAAGCTCCCATCCTTTTCTGGAACACTTTCTCTCTCCATCCTCCCAAATTTTCCTCCCTTCATCTCCAGGAAAAGCCAGTCCTGTCTTTAAGATCGTTTCTACCTCACATACCATCTCATGAAGTGTGCTGCTTTCCCCAGGTCAGAAGGCTTATGGCCTGATCAGTCTTTTATTTCACTCCTCCCTTTGCAGTTTTTGCTACATCTACATTCTGCTTGAAATGTTATTTACTTAATTTTTTTTGTCAATAGAATCATCTCTGTTTTTTCAACGTTGGTACCTCTACTTAAAAAGGAAATGTTTAAGTCACCCCAGACAAAGGGTTTTACTCACACCATAACCAGACTGCCCTGATTATCTCCAAGATGTCCTTTTACGGTTGGGTTGTTTCAGTCTGGATCTAAACATAGTCCACTGATTGCATTTGGTTGTTCGATCTCTTAAGCCTCTCTTAATCCAACGCAATCCCCTCACGTTTTTAAGGCCTGTGCAGCCCTGAGGCTAATGTAGGACTTCCCTCCCGTTCCCTCCAGTTCCTGCTACATCAAACAGTTTAGACACGTCTCTTCATGTTTACATTTTTTAATTTAGAAGAACTCATTTGAAAATCTTTATATTTCATTGTGGTAAAAACCACATAAAGCTTAGCATTGTAACCATTTTTAAGCATACAGTTCAGTTACGTTAAGTATATTCACATTGTAGGCTGGGCACGGTGGCTCGCGCTAGTAATCCCAGCACTCTGGGAGGCCGAGGCGGGTGGATCACCTGAGGACAGCAGTCCAAGACCAGCCTGGCCAACATGGCGAAACCCCGACTCTATTAAAAAATAGAAAAATTAGCTGGGCATGGTGGTAGGCACCTGTAGTCCCAGCTACTCAGGAGGCTGAGGCAGGAGAATCACTTGAACCAGGAAGGTGGGGCTTGCAATGAGCGGAGGTCACACCATTGCGCTTCAGCCTGGGCAACAAGAACAAAACTACCTCTCAAAAAAAAAAAAAAGTATATTCACATTGTTACACAACAGGTGCCCAAAACGATTTCATCTTACAAAACTAAAACTCTGTGCCCATTAAACATTTCCCCTTCCCCATACCTGGCAGCCTCCATTCTAGCACTCCTTTCTTTCCCTCAAGTTTTGTGTGATTATGCAAGTAGTACTAGAAGAAACTGGGTCAGTTGTCCTGTGGAATGTCCCTTAGTCTAAGTGTGTGTTTGCTTCCTGTGGCGCCCGTCAGCTTGTTCCTGTCTCCCCTGCATATTCTGTACATAGAAGTTAGCTCTAGGCTCTGGAGACTTCATTTAGATTCGTCTTCAACTTCTTTGGCAAGAACACATCATAGGTGGTTCTGTGTGCTTTACACAGTATTCCACCAGGACACATTGTGTCCGCTCTGCCCAAAGGCCCAGCTTTTTGATGCTATGCTCCAAGCCAATGTAGCAGGCACTGACAATGATGTCTCAGAGTTTTCTCCATCACTGGATATTTTTCCTGGGCCAGCTGCTTTAGTTCCTTCTGCATTATCTCCTCTAGATTTCTCTACAAACATCACCTCAGCCTCATCATCAGAGGTCTGAAATTAAACTTGGTAGATACTCCTTGAGGGGTCTAGGTATGGGCTGTTTATTGACAACCATGGGCCAGGACCTAAGGCTTCTTGAGGACCTTTAATTCAGGAAAGTCAAGGAACGTCAAACTCTAGATTAGCTTCCTTTTGATGCCGCTTTCGTGCCACAAATGGCAGCAGTGACAGTGTGGCTGCCGCCCATGTACTCTTTGGAATACATGGGATGTGCACAAGCCATTGCTTCTACCTTTCACAAGTCAGGCTTCAGGTTACTGAAGGGGGTGCCCCAGCCTGTGACTTGGCTTTCAGCCTGCTGCTTTTCTTGCTGCTATCCTAATGGGCCCTGGGAGAATGTAGAGATCCGTGTTCCTGCTTTCCCACCTGATTCCTAACATATTTAACGGTTTGGGTGCTGCTCTTACATTTGGGTTTTTCTTTTTTTTGAGACAGAATCTCTCTCTGTTGCCTGGGCTGGAGTGCAGTGGTGCGATCTCGGCTCACTGCAACCTCTGCCTCCTGGGTTCAAGCAGATCGCTGCCTCAGCCTCCTGAGTAGGTGGGATTACAGGCATGAGCCACCATGCCCAGCTATTTTTTGTATTTTTAGTAGAGACGGGGTTTCACCATCTTGGTCGGGCTGTTCTTGAACCCCTGACCTAGTGATCCACCTGCCTCGGCCTCCTAAAGTTCTGGGATTACAGGCTTGAGCCACCACGCCTGGCCAGGTTAATTTTTTTTTAATTTAGAAACACTCATGTTTTAAGTTTTTAGTGGTGATGCAAGTAATATATATTCCCTGAAGAAAACTAGAAAATGTTGTTGTTTTTTTTTAATATTTATATTTCCCCCTTCAAGATATACTTGCTACTGAATGTGTGTGCCCATTTTTTCTTATGCGTAAATCTGTACAGCTTTTAAAAGTTATATTTTTAGGCTGGGCGCGATGGCTCACGCCTCTAATCCCAGCACTTCGGGAGGCTGAGGCAGGCGGATCAACTGAGGTCAGGAGTTCAAGACCAGCCGGCCAACATGGTGAAACCCTCTTTCTACTAAAAAATACAAAAAATTAGCTGGGCGTGGTGGTGCACACCTATTGTCCCAGCTACTCAGGAGGCTGAGGCATGAGAATCACTCCAACCTGGGAGGCGGAGGTTACAGTGAGCCGAAGTCATGCCATTGCACTCCAGCCTGGATGGCAGAGTGAGACTTTGTCTCCAAAAAAAAGGTTATATTTTTATGAAATAAACTATACTACCATAAACTCTGTTTTCAGGGCTACGATTTTCATTCTGAGATTTTATGAACATCTTTTCATAGGTAGAAGTACATTCCTAAGCTTCCTTTTAGTACTTGCTTGCATGGATGTGTCCTAATTTATTTCGTCTGGCCTTTTAGAATTGGAAACGTGGCTTGCTTGTACTTTATCTCTTATATACACATTGCTGCTATAGTTACACTTCCTCCCCTTTAGCCCTGGGTTTTAGGATTTTGGCATTTTTCCTTATTAATTTGCTCTAGTGTCTTTGCATCTGGTCTCGTTTCCTAAGGGGAAATCCTCAGGAGTGGAATTTCTGAGCCTAAAGGTGTGTATCTTGAAGGTTTTAGAAACACTCCTCGCCTCATCCCAGCAGGGTCTAAACGTTGTATTGATTTTTTTTCCTCTGGGGAAGGACTATAAACCTCTCCTCTACAGTCCTCTTCTTGAAGAATTTACATGTTAAACTCATATTAGGATATAACAGGATTTAAGTCAGGTCTGGAAAGAGCCACAGATTAATTGAAGTCTTTTGTTTGAACTCTGATTTTTAACACAGTTTTATTAGCTATTGTTTCCTCACTATTAAAATAATATTAAGCATATTGAAGAAAATTTTGGAAAGCAGAGTAGTAATAAACTTCCTAATAGTTCTAGGTATTCAGCTAGTACAAGTCCAGGGAGGTGGTTATATTCACAGGTAGAAGAGGCCCTTGGCAGAGAAGGGAGAGGGTTGGCTTTGGAGCCAGGGAGACCTGAGGTCAAATCTCAGTGCCTTCCTTAGAGGCTGATTACACCTTGTTTTCTTAGGAAAGGATGATCCCAGTGCCTCCCTGGAAGAACCATTGAAAGGCCTAGAGTTTCATCTACAGCAAAGAGCCTGATAGTGCCTAGTAGTTAGAAGGAACTCAGTAATGAGTAGCTGCAATTAGGGAATATTTTTATTTTTAAAAATGTTTTATTAGCAATAATGAGTGAGTTGTAAACAACAGTTACATATCAAAATGCAACCACATTTTATCATATTTTTATATTTTTTCTACAAATAATGTTTTCTTTGTGTGGGTTTTTAAAAATAACATTACAAATATAAAGTTCCCTTTTCTGATTTTGTGACAGTTTTAATGACTTTATATAAAAGTCTGATTAACAAGCATAAAGTTCTGTATTCACAGTTTTTTTTAGAACCAATTTCCAAAATGTGGTTTTACTAGATGACATGATGAACATTTCTAAGGCTTTCAAAAGATCCTGCTGGATTTGTTTCTGGAGGGGCTCTGCCCTTTGTAGCCCTGAGCAGAGGGAGGGCCAGGGGTATGAATCATGTAGGTGGTAAAGCATCCTCCCTCTTGAGTCCCTGGCAGGCGTTGTTAGTTGGACACTCTGGTTCCAGCGAACCTGGGGACAGGACTGGGATCCTTCTCAGCACAGCACCCAAGGCAGATGAGACACACCAAGCAGTTTTTGTATATGCAAAGAACTGCCTTTGCCACCCTGGTACAAATAAATACTCCCTTTAAATAACTTTGCCAGCACTGGGTATTTATCCACTTAAACAACCACCAAAAAAAAATCTTTACCTATTTGATAAAGCAAAAAAGTGACTATTCTTAACAACAGTTAAATGCATTTTTGCATTATTATTCTGCATTTTTCTCCAAATAAGTTTTTAAAACTTCTTTATGTAAAACCTACGCCCTTTACCTGTTTAGCGTTTTTGTCTTTATGCTTTTTCTTACTAATTAGTGTGAATTCACTTTCCTTTTTTTAAAGTATACATTTCTGATGGATTGTTTATTTTTCTTTTTAAAGTGATATTTGGCTCCTTAAAGGTAACTACTTTATAGAAAGGTAGATGTCTCTCCGTCCCTCTGCCCCAAA